CTACCACGTGAGTTTTGAGTATTATACTCAAAAGGTTAGGCTCCATGGCAAGTATCCCTACCTCTGAGCCATCTTGCTAGCCCTTATTTCTGCATTTTTTGAAAGCATTCTTTTTAGGGTGGGAATGCAGCTCAGTTAGTAGAATGCTTGCCTCACATGTCCAAAGTCCTGGGTTTCACAAAACTGGTTGTGGTGGTGTGTACATTCAGGCTCAGCATTTGGGAGGTGGACGCAAGAAGATCAGAGTTCTAAGGTCATCCTACATAATAAGTTCAAAGCCTGCCTGGACTACCTGAGACCCTGTCTCAGCAAGATAAGGAAATTAGAAAAAGGAATGAAGAAGGTCTGCCTCTTAAACTGAAGAGAAGTGCTGTCCATTGACTAGTCTATGTCTTGTCTGTGTCATCTGAACCCATAAAAAAAAAAAATGAAAGCCTAGAGATAAAAGCCTAGAGGTGTTTAATAAAGTTTATGACTTAACTGTCTATTTTACCCATATAAGCACCTTCCCTAGTGTTAACAGTGAAAAGCTAATGAACATGTTAGAAGGGACACGTGGAAGATTTGGGATTTTTCTTACTTTGTTCTCCTCCCTCGTTTCATTGAGACAGAGTCTTGCTGTGTAGCCCTGGCTAGTCTTGAACTTGTAACAATCCTCTTGCCTCAGCCTCCTGAGTGCTGGAATTATAAGAGTAAACCAACTTGCTCTTTACTTTGAGTGATAGTGAAGCCAAATGGAAGAACTTGAGCTTTGGGGTCGAACTTAGGTGTTTATCCTAGCTCCAGCAGTCATACAGACTTCAGCTCCCTGACCTCTCTCTGCTGCAGAAGAAACTGTTACCTACGTCACTGAGCTGTATGGGAATTAAATGTGATAGTTTTTCTCATTTCCTCACCCTCTTTGGTCAAGGGCAATTGGTTTAGTGTGGGCCAAGATCAAAGATGTGGTTGCAGATGATAAAATGTTTGAGCAGAACACACTGTTTCCTAGGACCCAGTTAATGCCAAGAAAGATGGACGCTAGAGATAATGGACTTAGAAGTCTGGTAACTTGTTAATCCATTTAGCTATTTGTTTGTACTTCACATGATCATATATAGGATGATGTTAGTAGTTTATAAATGATATTGAACTTGAGACCTATAAGCAGTTTACATGGACAGGCTGGTGACTAAGCAGACTTAATTTGTGCTATCCAGCCTTTGAGAGCTCAAAGAACAAAGAGTGCTTCAAAAAAGTTCTGGAATGAGAGGAGAAAATCAGGCTTAAGATAGAATATATACATACATACACTTTGCCTTTTCCTACACTACTATTCCCTTGTATTTATTGCTAGCATGTATAGTAATTCATTAATATATTCCTGGTAAGACTTGTTTACTCAAGTGTTGAGACTGTTTTAAATGATAATTTAAAAGTGAAAATGATGTAGCTAATGTTGTAGGTGGAAATTCTAGACCCCTCAAGCAAGAATTTCCAAATAGGCTCCCTTATCATTTAATTGTGAAATAAATAGCTAGCACTTTGATGGTATTTATGTTTGGGAAGAGAGTAAAAGGAAACCATTTTGGACTTTCCCCATGTAAATTAGGGCTCTCTGAGTAATTAGCAGTTAATAAGTGAAAGCTTCCCTCAAGTTTAAAAGCCATAGCTAAAATGGATATATGATTATGTAAATTATTATAGACATAAAATCTTTTTGTTATTGTTTGTTTTTTTGAGACAAGTTCTCTCTACATAGTTCTGGCTGCCCTGGAATTCACAATGTAGATCAGGCTGTACTCAAACTCACAGATATCCATTTGCCTCTCCCGAGTGCTGATTTAAAGTAGTTTTTTATCAGACACATTTTTAGTCCCAACTATTTTTAAGCAGGAGCCACTGCACTATAAAGAGGTAGAGTGGCTGGGTGGTGGTGATACATACATTTATTCCCAGAACTCAGAGGCAGGTGGATCTCAGTGAATTTGAGGCCAGACTGGTCTACAGAATGAGTTCCAGGGCAGTCTCCAAAGCTATACAGAGAAACCTTGTCTCGAAAAACTAAACAAAAAAAAACAAAAAAAAACAAAAACAAAACAAAAAAAAAAAAAAAAAAAGGTGATCAGCATAGTCTGAGTCAACAGAACCAAGATGTTTCTGATCCACAGTTTCCGTCACTCCCTTATAAGGATCAGGCAGTGTTTACTTCTTCAGTTTACTTGGATCTTTCATTTTAGCATGATGAAAGTATAAATGACTATCTCAGACAATGCTATCTGATCATGACTTTTGCAACTAGGCGTTAATGGGGATTTCAGGCCAGTGAAGCCTTATTGGTACTGGTTGGAAGACTTAATCCTGATCATGTTGTGGAAGTCACAGCAAAGCAGAAGAGGAAAAGCCAGTCTGAAATGCTTCTCCTTCTCCAAAAAGGCAGCTCAGGTGCCCAGGTATCTTTCCCCTCCGGGGGTGCAGGTGTGCTGTTTGAATTCTTTAATCACTCACATAAATTAAAGCTTATTCCTTTGCATTTACAAACCAGTACAAAGCGGCACACTCCACGTTTATTGCTGGGCAAGAGCCTTGGACTTACTAAGTCTCATTGAAGTTTGATCAACTGTAAGGATTTTCAGGGCTGGGTGGTGCACTTAACCACAGAGAGCACTAGACTGATAAGAGCTGCAGGTGAGGAAAACAGGAAGAGCAATTAGACAGAGCTTCACACTTGCTCTTGGCTGGTTGGAATTCCCACAGAGGAGTCTTCTCCTCCTTTGTCTTCTCCTCCTGTCTCTGTGGCTCTTTTTAACTCCTACCCTTAGCCGAGATTAAAGACAGCATCAGCGCTTTCTAGTTCCACTTTGTGACCTTCGAAGGGGTGGGGTGAATACTTTGTAGTAGAATGAATGGTTCTTGGTAAGACACTTGAAAATCTGAAGACAAGTCCTGACTTCACACAGATGCTTGTCAGTGTACAGGCAGGGACAGGACAAAAAGGTGCTCACACACGTGACACTCATGTGTGTACATGTATGCCCACAGTTCACATGGACAGGGCTGGATCCCATCCCTCAGGTGATTTTGCTACACTTATGCCTTATGTTCTGGGTAACATGAAGATAACTTTACTTCCATGGCTGATTGTAAAGTGTTAACGAGGAGGCATTTTTGTGAAGAGCATGGATGCTTGGAAAAGACAAACCTTGGTTTGAATCTCGGCTTCTCTTACTACTAGATCTGTGATCTTGAGCAAGTTGCTTTAGTTCTTTAAGTCTCAGCTGTCCCAACTATTAAATAGAAGTCTACAAATACTTATCAGAAGATGGATGCTAATATTAAATGAAATAATGCATTAGAACAATTAGTATGTTACCTGGCACATTGTTCAATATGTTGGATAGGGGCTCAAAAATGGTAGGTGTTATTTGTAATATCGTAAACCAAGAGTCTGACTGGAAGATAAATGTTAAACAAGTACAACCCTACACCCCCTACTGTCTGTTAAAAAAAAAAAATTCTCCTTTTCTGACCTCTAGGATGAAAATACTTTGATTCTAACTACTATAAAAACACTCCCACTGACTTTTAGTCCCTGGAGCTAGGGAGGAGAAGCCACAGGATTTGCTTCTAAGTAGAAGTTCTTTCATTTCTACTATCAAAAGGAGGGAGGGCATACTGAATTCTTATATTAGCCTTAGGTGCAGGTAAGTCATCAGAAGCCAGAAAGTCTGAGGAAGGAAGGGTTTTGTAAGATCCGTGTTAAGTGGGTAGAAGAAAGGAAGGAGAATGTAGCAGTGAAAATGTGGCTGTGTTTTTAATACTAGTCTGGCTATGTTTTTCTTCTCACATCTTGATTATGATGATTAATATTTTGAGAACAGTGTTAGAATGTATTTTACAGCTTTACTCTCAGGAGTGGCTTACAAGCGTCTTCTTTTTTATTCTTTTTCCTGTTTGTCTTTACTATAGAATTAAATACATAGCTTTGTACACTAGATAAGCCCCAAACAAGTGTAAGTTAACTGTTCAAAATTAAGCTTCAAAAGGTAGCTACTCAAACCCAGGTCTTTCCAACTTTAATGTACTATTATACTGGGCACAGAGGCACATGCCCTTAATCCCAGCTTGGGAGGCAGAGGCAGGCAGATTTCTGTGAGTTCAAGGCCAGCCTGGTCTGCATAGTGATTCCAGACCAACCAAGGCTATTGAGTAAGATCCTGTCTCACAAAAACAACAAATAAATGTATCTCTGTACCTCTGTATCTAGTCTATCTTTACAAGATCATGTTTTTGTAAAAATAAATTTTAATTGTTAACATTATTATTGTTAATTATTGTACAAATTGATTTTACTGTGACTTTTTCATATACATATGTACATCATGCATTGATCATATCCACCCTCCTTTTTCTACCCTCTGTGTCCCTCTCCTCAGTCCCTAACAGTCTTTCTGTGTCAAGCTTTATTTTGACAAGATAGTGATTAGTTCACAATTTCCCAGTAACAACAAATTCGGGCTGTGTATATCTAATAATAAGTGTAGCTACTAAGTTCTTGCTGTTTTCCAGGGTTAATGATGTACACCTGTGACAACACTGAAATTTTCATGTTCCTTAACCTTTTCCCATGACTTTTTAAAATTAGAGATCTGAATTTTCTTTAGGATCAGGTCAACCATTTCCTGGAATATAATTTTGCCCATGCACAGATAGGAAAGGATGGAAGGTGTCGAGGAAAGAGCCTGCAGGAAAGAGGGGCTGAAGTTCTTGGTTAATTGAAAACAAGACTGGAAGGCAGTGCTGACAGCTAGTCAGGTCTCAGTAGGTCATGTCTTGCACTCATCCCTTTCACCCTTTGGGGTCATAGCTCCATAGTATGGCCAGCAAGCTGTGTGTCTCTATTTTAATCCACTCTCCCAGGACAGAGATAATACTTTGACTTACATGGCTCTCCTTGGGATTGGTAGAACTCTTTGTTTTTTTAATCTCTCTCATTTTTCTTTCTTTTTTTCTGTTTGCAGCTCAGCGACATGTCCTCACGTACATGGAGGATGCGGTGTGCCAGCTGCTGGAGAACAAGGAAGATATTGGCCAGTATGGCATTGCCCGGTTCTTCACTGAATAGTGAGTACATGAATGCTTTGCTAATTGGGCAGGCTCAAATGAGGTATTTGGAAGCAGGTAGGATACATGAACCAGTCATGATACATAGGCCAGTGGTGATTAGATAGCCACAATGACTCTTGGTTCGGTAGGTTGGTTGAAGGCTGGCCAACATGTGTAGGAGCAAGAATATGCCTTTGGTGCAGCTGCTTTGTTCAGTGTCTCATGAATGATCAGGACTGTAGTAGTTTTTTGATCCATTAGGTGTGTTCCTTTAGGTTCCTTATGACTTTTGTTTGTTGGTTTTCCCTTTTTAAGTTTAATTTATTTTTAAATTTTATGTGCGTGAGTGTTTTGTCTCACGTACACAAATTCTGAACCACAAAGTCACCAAGAGACCCATTCCAATGCAAAAGCAAAGAGTTTTTTTTTTGGTTTTTTTTTTTTATCATTAACGAGTTAACTGCATTAACTTGGTCGCTTGGTCTGTCCAACATGGTGGCTGGCTTGAGCAGGAGCCAGAGAAACCATGAGGTGGGGAACGTATTGGGCAGCCTGTCATGGTTGCTAAAGCAGAGGGCTGGTCCCTTCAGTGCGAGTCACCATGTAGGTGCTAGGAGTCAACCCAGAGTCCTCTACAATCGTGGCCAGCACTCTCAATCACTGAGCCGGCTCTCTAGTCCCATCGCCCTTATGCTTTTTAGCTTTTCCCCCTTTATTCTATTCACAACACTTACTGTGATTTCTTTTATTTGGCGGTTGTTTTCATGGCTGCTTTTTCTCATGGTCTTGTTTTGGATGTTGAACCTGTACACTTTTCTTTTCACAAGACATTGTACTAATTGCTTAATGATTATATATTTTTGAAAGGTCATACTTTATTGCAAAGTATACATTGAGTGTTTGAAAGTCAACGTGATTGCTATTTTGAGAATATTAGTAAATAATTTTTAAGCTAATCACCTTAAAGCATTTTAATCTTCATGAAAGGTTATGCTAAAGAAACACAAAGCTGTATTATTTTTACTGGTTATTTTATGTTTATTAGTATTATTACTAATATGCCCTTACTATTGTATATAATTTTTCTTGTGTTTTTGGAATGTTCTAAGAAAGGGGGAGTTAATCTCTGCCAGCTTCCTTTTAAGGCAACTCAGAACTGAAGTCCATCTTCCTTGAATACAAAGGTATCTTTTTCTATTGTCAGGTCTCCAGAGCCTCTTTGAACACCAGACAGCTGTTCCAACAGCCTAACCAATGTGGGTTGTAATTAAAGGAATATTTGACTCTCCCTAGTTCTTTTGCTGTGTTAGAATTCTCAGAAATAAAATTGGAAGAATGTAGGTTTCTTTTTTCCTCTTAATTTTTCTTTTCTTTGCTTTTCCTCCCTCCCTGCCTTCCTCCCCCCTCCTTTCCTTCTTTCATGTATGGTACTGTAAATAGAACCTGGTGTCTTATGTTAAGCAAGCACTTTACCAATGAACCACTTTCCCAGGCTTAAAATCTAGATGTTTTTTATGTTTTAAGTTTTGGGAGGATAAGCAAGTTTCTTGGGAAGAGAGTAGTTTCTTCACTCAGTCTTCTACAGGATGAAATAGAGACAGGAGACTTACTTGTTCTCATGGTGTGGACTGACAAGAACAAGGTGGGCATGGAATAAAACCTGAGATTGCATAGCCGTGTTTGCCTTTACAGAACTGATAAGGGTCGAATTTCAAGGCCATTTAATCTGTACCAGCCTTTGGCAGCTCTTTGCCAAATGAAATATGACTCTTGTGGGGAATGCTCTTCCTGGCCTTCTTTCATTCACCTGCCCCCATCCCCTTTATAAGTCTTTCCATTATTTTACTGGCTTCTTGTGGATAGGCATTTCTTTTCCTCTTTGTTTTTCCAGCATTGGTGTGGTGTGCATTAGGATGTCAAGATACTGGTAAAAGTGTTAGTAAACTTGTCTTGAATCAGTAACTACATTTTAAGCTTTGGCATACTTGTCTATTGCTCTTATTCGTTTGTTTGTTTTGTTTTTGTTTTTGTTTTTGTTTTTGTTTTTTCAAGACAGGGTTTCTCTGTATTGCTTTGGAGCCTGGCCTGGAACTTGCTCTGTAGACCAGGCTGGCCTCGAACTCACAGAGATCTGCCTGCCTCTACCTCCTGAGTGCTGGGATTAAAGGCGCCACCAACGCCTTGCCCTATTACTCTTATTCTTGATCCTCTTATACTTACTGTTTTCTCCTCAACCCCCATCTATTGTTGATTTCAGAGAGTAAAGCTCTATACTCTTCCCTCCAAGAAATTTTGTACAATGTGTCTAGTACTCCAAAAGCAAACTGCACTGGCCTGTGTAAGTGATACTGAGCTCTAGAGAGCTAGTGTGCTGTTGACTCTTGATAGGTTTTGAGAGTTTTGTTTTTTTTTTAAATTTAATCTACTAATACACTGTTGAAAAAAACTCAAGATTTTTTTTTTCATAATACTGATAGAAATCTAGTTGCCAAATGAGCTGTTTCTTGTTCTCAGAAACCAATTTCTATAAGATATGTGGATGGCACATACCTGACACTTCTATAGCTCTGGCTCAAGGGAAGTTATTTTGATAAGTGAAACGTGAACCAACTTCAAAGCGAGGAAGACATTAAAAAAAAAAAAAAAAAAGAAGAAGAAGACTAAGTCTGTGACAGAATGGGAAGTAGTAGGGTGGCATTTGGAGACCCAAATGGTAGAAGCTTCTAGTTTTACTGTGTGAATGTGATTTATCTAGAGAAAATGCTCTCATTCAGGGACAGGTTTATAGTGATTCATGAGAGAAGATCACTACTCTCTCAAGAAGCTGTTCTCTGTTAGCTAACCTGAGCAGAGTTCTGGACACCAGGCTGAAATTGCCTCTTCTTTGAGATGAATTAGACAAAACTTGACATACTATGCTGATAATAATGACAGTGGCAGTTTCTAAACTCATACTGTGCCTTCTCTGCTCCAATTCTTTGAACTAGATGTGATTGTCACCCCTATTTTATTGATGGGGACTCCTCAATTTAAAGGTAAAATGCTTCAAAGTTCAAAAGCTAGTAACTGTCAGAGTTAAGAAATCAAGCATTGTCTGCAATATTAGCATCTACTTTCTCTACTGCCTCCAAGCTACTTTCCTGCCTAATGTTACCACTAAAGTTTTTTAAGTCTCTGTTTGTACAACTCTTGAATTCTCCCTGGGAACTACATCATCCAAGCTTATCCTGTAGCCTTGTCTGGTAACTTCAGTTCATTGACATTTAAGTATCTAGCATTGGTGCTTGAGGAGATCAGTTAGAGCTGTCTTTAAATAACAGTAGGGATGACTTTGTTGGTTTTGTCATTATTTTTCAAGACAGGGCTTCTCTGTGTAGTCTTGGCTGTCCTGGAACTCACTCTGTAGACCCTGGCTGACCTCAAACTCACAGTCTTTTGCCTGCTTTTCCCTCCTAGAGTTCTGGGATTAAAGGTGTGCAACACCACCACCACCCAGCCAACTTTCTAAAAAGCATGTGATCTGTACACTTTCATCTCATCAAGTCTGTGCTTTTCATACATTGAGTATCAGGAGTTTCTCATAGGCCTTTCTGCTGGTTTGTTCTCTTGCCTGTGATGTTACTCTTGATTGTTCATGTTTTCAAACAAGTCTATAAGTGAAAGGTTTTGAATGAGGGGTTCAAGAGGAACACCGAGATAGATTGATGGGAACATGGAGTTTATCAAAACAGACAACAGGATAAACAACAGGATAGCAAGGGCTCTGAGGAGAGTTCACTCTCCATCATCAGAGACAGAGAGCATTGCTGGGGCTCTGAAGAAAGGAGATCAGGGCCTACTTAGCAGAAGTGGGAGTCTGTTCTTTCACCTTTCTGAAGATGGTTGGCTTTATAGCACAAGCCTGTAGCCTGGTTCTCTGATACCCAGGCAGGATGTAGAGAAATGGACAGGATATGTAACAACCAATACTCCCTTTGATGTAAACCCATTTACCCAGGTGTGAGATTTTTGGCACCTGGAAGTCTATTAGCTAGGGACTCACAGGACATTGTCTCAGGAGGGTGCCCTGTGGGAATCTATGAAAGGGAAGGGATGCTGAGTGTACTGTGGCCTGAGCAGCAGCTGGATTCTGACATTACTTTTTTTTTTTTTTTTTTTTTTTTTTTTTTTTTTCTGTGTAGCTTTGGAGCCTATCCTGGCACTCACTCTGGAGACCAGACTGGCCTTGAACTCACAGAAATCTGCCTGCCTCTGTCTCCTGAGTGCTGGAATTAAAGGTGTGCGTTCGCCACTAATGCCCGGCCCTGACATTACATTCTTACAGTGGGTATCCCAGCAAATCTTAATAAACTGTAAAACTGTGGCTGTCCAGCAGCATGTATTGAGGTGCTTCTCTGAGAATAGAACAGGTCAGCACTGGGTCAGTCTCTCTGAAGACATGCATCCAAGGAAATGAGGCGAAGTTGCTATGACTTAGAGACTGCAGCAGAGTGTGACCAGTTCTTGTGGGAAGGATAAAATGAGAACTGTGGCTTTTCAAGACATTGGAAAATAATGAGGAGAGAAAAGAATAGGCTGAAATGTGAGAATTGCTATCAGGATTAGGACCATTCCTTCTAGTAAATTGATAGTTACAGCCCTGCGGCATCAGGAAGCTTGACCTCCACATCCTAATATAGAAAAGAGCAACATTCTTTGGTCTTGGTCATTGGGCCAGAAGGCCTTTTTGTTTCACTTTGTTTTGTTTGCTCTTATAGTCATTTTTATTTTTTATGAAGTTTAGATAGTGATTGGTTTGGTTGCAAGGGAAAGAAGTACATAGGCTACCTTCATTAATAGTTTATTAAAACTTTTTTAGATTTATTTTTATATGTATGAGTGTTTTCTCTGCATGTATGTATGTACTGTGTGTGTGCCTAGTGCCTGTAGAGGTCACAGAAGGACATTGAATCCCCTAGAATAGGATTTTTTGTGGTTGTTGTTGTTTTGGTTTGGTTTTTCAAGACAGGATTTCTCTA